TATACTTTTCATTTTGGCAGACTCACAGTACTTTGTGGTTACAAAACAGAAATCATTATTCAAAGAAACAAAATATTACCTAGCTACAATTAGATAAGAAGAATGTCTCTTGGCTTAGACATAAGCAAGCATTTTTACTTTCAGTTCGCGTTTTGCTTTGAGTTGTTTCTGCTTAGTTAACTTTTAATAATAGTTAGAAATGTCCCAAACTATTGGCCTACACCTTGACTATTCTTTCTTGACTTACTGACTGGAACCGGTGCCAAGGCTACGGCAACTGGTTAACTTGTTATTAATTTTAATCAAACAAGAGTAAGAGCACAAACCATTGTGCACAGGAACAAGAACAAGTTGCCCAGTACTAAGCACTAATCTGTCTTCTTAACATTAATTCCTCCTCTCTAGATTTTAGTTTAATTTCTCAAAAACTTCCTTGACAGGAATACAGGGAGTTTTTCATTAGACATTAACAATTTACGCTCCACAGCTGAATCATTGCATTTAGAGCAAACAGATCTATACTTTAGAAGTAGTTGCATTAATTGGGAAAGTCATGTTTTTTCCTTCATACTTAATAGTCGTATGAGAAGTTGCAACTATACTTATTAAAGGAATACAAAAACAAATCAGCCCATTCCCAGAAACATACTGCGCTCCTCCAGAGGATGGACACCTTGCGCTATCCACCTCAGTAGGGCCTTGCCATTGCCTGAGTCAGGGGAGGGGCGCAGCATATAGAAGTCAATTTTATATGAAAAAAAAAAAAAAAAGATGATGAGTGTGGTAAAGAATTTTTTGAACAGTTAAGTGAAGATTTAGTAGAATTTTTTTTCCCACAAAGTTCAAGCTCTGGCTCTGCATACATAACCTTGAACAAGTGCCCAATCTCATCTATAAAAAGGGCATGACAATAATCATGCCAAATATCCAGTTGCCACTGAGCCCACCTATAATCCCAGCAGCTCAGGAAGCTGAGACAAGAGGATCACAAGTTCAAAGCCATTCTCAGCAATTTAGGGAAGCCCTAAGCAATTTAGCGAGACCTTGTTTCTAAATAAAATATTTTAAAAAGGGCTGGTGATATGGCTCAGTGGTTAAGTGTCCCTGGGTTCAATTCCTGGTACTAAAAAACTAATCACTGCAAGTCCATAGAGCTGTGGAGGAGTTTATGAGAGAAGGAGTATGTTTAGAACAGGGGTGGGGGTTGTCACTTCCCCTTCAATTGAAAGAGCTTTCACATCATCCAGCCTACTAGGGATGACCAGCAAAGTGGGGCAAATCCTCTCTTCCAAACAAGAAGAGATGGAGGTAAGACAGCAGCCAATCTGGGCAAGTCCTACCTGGGTCCCTGATGGGCAAGTCCTGCATCCTGGCTTCTGTCACTGGAACAGTGCCCTTGCACCAGTTCTGCCTATTCACATGTACAGCCACCTGCTCAGCCTCCAGTTGGCCCCAGAGTCCTTGATTAGGATTGCTCACCCTTCAAGTTTGAGTCACCTCTTTCCAGCCGCTAAGAGGACTACACAAGGTCTCCCCAAGTCCCAGAGTTAAGGAGTGTTTAGAAAGAGATATACTTGTCCTTAAGTGCACTTACGCTATTAATTTTCTAGCAGGTCAGCCTATCCCTTATGTTAAAGTGCTATAAAAAGCTGCACAAATCCTAAATTATGCTATATTTATTACTCTCTCAAAGGTCACCAGTGCATTCCCAACTGCTAAACATAAAGGCCCTTTCTCACTCCTAATCCATTTTGATCAGTAAATGCATTTAAAGGCTGACCCCAGGACCTTGTTCCTTGTTGCCTTGCTTCACTTGGAGACAACCTGCCTAATGAGTCTTCTGGAAGTAAAACTCTGCTCATAATAATTGTCAACTGGTGAAGGCGTTCCCCCTCCCACTGTCTTGACAAGGTCACAGTGAGGATGAAAGTGTTTGGCAAGGCCGCACTTGTGGGAAACCAAGTGCGATTTTGTATGTAATTGGGACTTTTTATTTTATACTCATAAACCTAACAGAAGGCATGAGTAAACTTATTGCTAAACCAAATTAAATTTTAAATGGCCAAGACTATAACAAGTGATTCCTGATTTAAAAGGCTGTTTCATTATCTCTCAGGACATTGAGGACAAAACAGAAAAACATCAACTATTATTCTGGGAAATGCTATAGGGACTCTAGGCACCACAATTGATTGTATCAACTAAGAATCCAAATTCATATCTTCAGTCTCTCAAGCCTAAACAGATTGGTATCATCCCTATTGCACAAAGCTCACCTTATGTAACCTATTTGATTAAGGATAGCTTATGGTAGTCATCCAGGGGAGAAAAGGCTAAGAAAAATATACTTCCTTTCTAATAGACCCTCTTTTACTTTACACAGGGATTTTTGATGAGTATAGTTAATGTTAGCAGCAGGGGAACTGACATACAGAGCCTGCCTTTTAGTTAAAGATTACTAAGATTTAAGAACTGCGGTACTTTGACTAAAGAACAAAGAACTCTGAGAAAGCAGCTTAACCAATTTTATGAGAATCAAGTAGGCATTTTTAGATGCTTTTAGAATATATTATAAGATGATTATAAGGGGACTTTTAGATGGGATCTTAGATTAGAAACAAAGTACAGGTGTGCTTTAAATTTAAAGGTTAATGATAGGTTAGGAGACAGGTTATGTAGTTATGTAGTTTGGCATCTGTTAAACAAGGAAATGTTACATCTTGGGAAAAACTGGAAATTGTAAATTGATGACACATTTTACTAATGATTCTGTACCCATACTGATGAGAAAAAGCAGAATAAAAAGAGACCCAGAGAGAGCAGTTTAAGAACACTCTCTCTCTCTCTCTCTCTCTCTCTCTCTCTCTCTCTCTCTCTCTCTCGATTGCTCCAATAGATGACTCCTTGTCTCATTCCTTGTGCGGACCCAACATCCCTCATCCTTTTCAGGACCCCCTGGATCCCGCTGGGGCAGGACCCCAGCAGTCAACATTATTGAATGCTGCTATATCTACAGTATCAGGTGCTTTAAACTCATTTTCTTGATTAATTCACACAACCCTATAAAATGGGTTAGATCTGAAGAAATGAGTGTAAATAGGTAAGGTATTTTAAGGACTTAACTCTGTCTTTTATAGAGAAGGAAATGAAGCTTAGAAAAATTAATAAGTAGCCCAAGAATCAATCCCAAGTCTTTTTTAAGTCCAAGATCAGTGCTTGTAACCACCATCCCTGCTCTAGAATCCTCAGTGGCTTCCCACTGCTCACAGGACAATGACTTAATCCTGACATCCAAGATGGGGTATAACATGGTCCAAAGGACCTATGCAGCTTTTATATTGTGGCATCAGGTCTAGGTGGTGTATTTTTCAGTCATATTTGTTTTGTGTGAGGTGATAGAAATAAACTCACACTGTTGGCTAGCCTGGGTACTTATTCTACCCAAACTTGGCTTTCCTTTTTTTTTTTTTTTAAAACTGGGATTTGAATCCAGGGGTGCTCTGTCACTGAACTACATTCCCAGCCCTTTTTATTTTTTTATTTTGGGATAGGGGTCTTGAAGTCAGAATTAGACAGGCAGTCATTATAGGGAGGTAAATTGAGTCAGGTTGGATCAAGGAAGCCATTTTGAGTGAGTCCAGGAAGTTGGAGATACCAGCTATGGCCCCCTTCTCCCTCCCTGGAGAAGTCTATGTTACCTCCTTTTAAATTAAACCCTGCTTTATATGCTTGCCCAGGCGTGCTTCTCTAATGTTCAAACTTCAACATGTAAGGAAGCAGAACTGTCACCGGTGGTACCCTGGTATCCCAAGAAGTGAAGATGTACTGCCTTTTTTTATATGTCCTAGGGTTCCTTTGTTCTCCTTCCCTCTTCCCCCTTTCTCTCTCAGGAGATGCTCTGGGGGATGGTGAAAAGGTGGGCTGAAGGGGAACTGACAGGATGGTTCAGCCCAGGACACATCAATTAACAACCTTAGAGCTCTCTGTAGGGAGGGACAATTCCTGGGACAGGTTACCTTAGCCACAGGTTGGAGCAGGGGGAGGTTCTTCATAAGGGTGGAGGAAGGGCTCTGAAGGAATTAACATTTCAATCCCTCAGGGGACAGTCTCCAGCTTGCTGGACTCACTCAAAATTGGCCTCCTTGATCCAACCTGACTCGATTTACCTATCTACACTGACTGCCTGTCTAATTCTGGCTTCAGTATCAATCTCACTAAGTTGCCCAGGCTGTCCTTAAACTTGAAATCCTCCTGCCTCAGCCTCCTGAGTCTCTAGGGCTACAGGTCTGCACCACAGCACCAGGCCAAATTTGGCTTTCTTATCAAAATCAAAAATAGGCTAGGGGTATAAATCAGTGGTAGACTGATTACTTAGCATGCACAGGCCCTGGGTTCAATCCCCAGCACAACCAAAAAATAAAAATAAAATGAGAGATGATTGCACTACTTCATAGGGTAGAAATGGCTGCCTCATTATTTTGTGTTTTCTGTCTCGCCTAGAACCCTGCCAGGGGTTCCTCACTTTTGAGAGACTCAGTGATGCCTTGTGACCATTATCTATTTTCCACTTTCTCATAACTAGGTTGTGGCTTTACGTTGTAGAATACAATCTGCTTTTCTGCAGCTTCGGGTAAGTAAAATATTTCCTCCTGATATTATGAGACTATTTCTAGTAGTTTTTTGAGACAAAGAATTGGAATATCTTGGGTAAGCACCCGAGCTCAAACTTACACTCTTGCTTCCAAATTATTTTGCATGCTTTCAGGGCATTAGTTCAACAGACCATTAAAGCATGGTGTGTCGAGGTTTGGTTGAATCAGATTGAACCAGTTATCTCTGCCCAGTTCCTTTCACCTTTTTAGATCTGGTGACTTTGGGTTGTAGAATCTTAAAGGGAAAAGATTTCTGCTTTAAAAAAAAAAAAAAAAAAAAAGCTCTTCCCATTGGTTTTATGAAAGTTTTACAAAAATGAACTTGAAAATTTTTAAATATGGAACATCTCTTCCTCTTCGGTCTCGGGCCTAAGTCGCGGCGACATGGCTAAACGCACTAAGAAAGTCGGAATCGTCGGTAAATATGGGACCCGCTACGGTGCCTCCCTCCGGAAAATGGTGAAGAAAATCGAAATCAGCCAGCACGCCAAGTACACATGTTCCTTCTGTGGCAAAACCAAGATGAAGAGACGGGCTGTGGGGATCTGGCACTGTGGTTCCTGCATGAAAACAGTGGCTGGTGGTGCCTGGACCTACAACACCACTTCTGCTGTCACAGTCAAGTCTGCAATCAGAAGACTGAAGGAATTGAAAGACCAGTAGAAAGTTCTGTCATATAGCAAAATTGTGGTTTGTTTGCTAATTGTATTAACTGAATGTTCTGATGTGAATTGCATTAATATTGCCCTTTCAAAAGATTTGTAAATTGAAGCCCTTCTAATTTGAATTGGAAAATTTTGCTAGATGGGTTATTGTAATTCAGGTCTTTTTTTCTTCAGTAGTCAGATGATAACGGCACGAAACTGAGTCTTATGGCTTAGTATATACTCAGCTTTTTTTGTTTTTTAAAAACACTGTTCAACTACTCCGAAATACATTGATATTGTACAAAATTTGTTTTAAAGGTAAAATATGCTAAAATACACAAAGGATATACATAAAAAAAAAAAATTTTTAAATATGAAAGAACAAGGGCCCTCCCAGGCCATGCATTCAAAAACATTGACAACAGAACATGTTTATCCCTGGAATCCTCTGAATTTTGTTCAGAATTTTATCCCTTTGGTTTCTTTTTTAGTTTCTGTTCTTTCATATTTTGTTATCTTGGTGTTGATCTTTGTTTACCTAGGTTCTGACATTTTTACCCCAGAATTAATTACCCCAGATGGACCACTCTACTGTGTTTTCCAAGCAAACAAAGTGAGCAGGAAATAGGAGCTTCCTGAGAAAACTGGCTTTGCATTTTAATGAGAGACTTTGCCTTCAGCAGCTCATTTGTCCTGTGCCTACTTTTCTTAATTATAATTGGTTTGTGATTTGGGGAGAGGGGAGTTAGATCAAATTTTCCCTGTTCCATTTAAATTTTGTCCCTGATATTTTACTGCTTGCCTCCCCAAGTCTCCTTTGTGAAATATTGTTCTATTTTGTTCTGACAGCTACCTCCTTTCTGTCGACTGGCTCCTTGCTCAGAACTTCTCAACACCTAGAACTTTGGCCTAGGATTTCCTTTCGCTTTTGTGCACTTTCCTTGACATCACAGGGTAAACACTTAGCAGGTGATGAGTGTTTCCGCTGGGTTTTGCACAGATAAGTCACTCCTAACTTTGATGAGTCCTTCAGTGTCCAGATTTTTGCCTCTCTCCTCCTTTCTCCACTCCAGCACATCACCTCTCTCTTTCTCCTGATGCAGTGGCAAGAAGAGGTGATTTTTATAAGGCTGCCTTAAATGTAGGGACCACAAGGAACCCAGCTCACCTGTAATCAAACAACTGCCCTCCAATTCTGATATACTGTCTCTCTGCTGCAAGTGGGGTAGAGAAAAACAGCCCAGACACCTGGAAGTTTCCCGTCTTCTTCCTCTGCAAATGCAGTGCTCTCCATATCAGGAAGGGACACCTGAAATCCATCATCAACCTGGACTTTTCCTCCTCCAGCCCTTCTTATCCACCCCTTCCTGGAGCCTGTCAATTTCATTTATTCATTCAACATTTATAAAAACCAGCTATGTGTCAAGCATCGAGCTGGTCTTTGGAGGTACCAACAAATAAAGAGACTACTAAATGCAAAAATATGAGCATAAATAAGCTGAATTTTGAAGGATTGTTTGCAGTTTGGTGATAAACATCTCCATTCTGCCTACTTTGTAATAGAGGGTTTCTTGTACAAGAAATATTAGACAGGATTTTTTTTTTTAACTGAGGAATTAAACCTGGGGGCGCTCTACCACTGAGTTATAGCCTCAGCCCTTTTAAGTTTATTTTTTATTTTGACACAAGCTTTTGCTAAATTACCCAGGCTGGGCTTGAATTTAGTATTCTCTTGCCTTAGACTCTCTAGTACATGGGATTAAAGTTATGCACTACAGTGCCCAGCCTGGCCTGTGCTCTTAAGAAATATAAATATTATGAAAAACAAAGAAAGACTGAGACGCTATTCCAGTTAAAATAGGATAAAGAGACATGGTAACCAAATACAATGCATGATGCAGATCATTCTTCTATTATAATGAGTATCATCAGGACAATTGGCAAAATCTGAATACTGTCTGAAGATTATATAGTTTTGTATCGGTATTAATTTCCTAATCTTGGAAGCTATACTATAGTTATATATGAAAATGACTTTGTGTTTAGGAAATACACTTTGAAATATTTTGGGGTAAGGGAGCATCATGTTTGCAATTTGTTCCCAAATAGTACAGGGTGGAAGAGTGTGAGTAGAGAAGGGGAGGAAGAAAGAAATAAAGCAAATGCAGTGAAATTGTTAACATTTGAGGAATCTAGGTGAAGAGTATGCAACAATTCTTTGTACTATTCTTGCAACACTTCTGTAAATCTGAAGTTATATTCCACCCCCC